GTTGATGAGCTGACCTTGAAAGACAGGCATTAGATGTATCAGCTGTCATAGGCCTTGGGATTCATGGGTTGCATGCTGGTAGCAGATTAGAAAAAGGAGCCCCATTGGCTGACACATCAGGACATCTGGTTGGAAAAGTGGAAAGTTCCACCATCAGTTGAAAATAACTATTCTGTAAGGGAGATATGATGTGGAACGGAGAAGCAGAAGTTGTACTTGTAACATAATTCACAATGTGGCCATTTGCTTGAGTGTAGCTGCTTTCAGAGGACATGTGAAAAGTGGTCAACTGATTTAAACTAGCATGTTGATCTGTTATAGTGCGTTCTTTTTTTAAAAAAAAATTATTTATTTATTTATTTTTCATTAAATTTTTATTTTGTCAATATACAATGTATATGATTATTATGGCCCATCACCGACAGTTCCCTCCCTCCTCCCTCTCTCCCCTCCCCCCCAAGAATGTCCTTTCCGTTTGCTTGTTGTAACAACTTCATAAAAGTATAGTTGTTATATCTTCTTCCCCACCCCACCCCCCGGGTTTTTTTGTGTGTGTATGTGGGAGAATTAATTTGTTTATTTTTTAGCTCCTACCAATGAGTGAGAACATGTGGTATTTCTTTTTCTCTGCCTGACTCGTTTCACTCAATATTATTCTCTCAAGGTCCATCCATGTTGTTGCAAATGGCAGTATTTCATTAGTTTTTATAGCTGAGTAGTATTCCATTGTGTAGATATACCACATTTTCTGTATCCACTCATCCGATGATGGACATTTGGGTTGATTCCAGCTCTTGGCTATTGTGAAGAGTGCTGCAATGAACATTGGGAAACAAGTGTACCTTCGACTTGATGATTTCCATTCCTTTGGATATATTCCCAGCAGTGGGATAGCTGGTCATATGGTAGATCTATCTTCAATTGTTTGAGGAACCTCCAAACCATTTTCCATAGGGGTTGCACCATTGTGCATTCCCACCAACAGTGTAAGAGAGTTCCTTTTTCTCCGCAGCCATGCCAGCATTTATCTTTCGGTGTCTTTTGGATTTTTGCCATCCTAACTGGGGTGAGATGGTATCTCAGTGTGGTTTTGATTTGCATTTCCTGGATGCTGAGTGATGTTGAGCATTTTTTCATATGACTGTTGGCCTTTTGTATATCTTCTTTAGAGAAATGCCTGCTTAGCTCTTTTGCCCATTTTTTGATTGGGTTGCTTGTTTTTTTCTTGTAAAGTTGTTTGAGTTCTTTATATATTCTGGATATTAGTCCTTTGTCAGATGTGTATTTTGCAAATATTTTCTCCCACTCTGTTGGCTGTCTTTTAGCTCTGTTAATTGTTTCTTTTGCTGTGCAGAAGCTTTTTAGTTTGATATAGTCCCAATTTTTTATTTTTCCTTTGGTTGCCCGTGCTTTTGGGGTTTTCTGATGATCTAACGATAGTTGATGGAGGAGAAAAATTACTTGCAATTGAGTTGATAGAGTCGGTTGTATTAGCAACTCTCCGGCTGGTAGAAGGCTTCCTTGTTAGAGGCATGTTTAAATTTGTAGAGTTTGAAAGTAAACTTTCTCCACTAGTTTTGGCAACTAAACCAGCAATACTATTATCCACATTACCCTCTGCTCTAAAGTCCTTCTTGTTGAAATCTTGAACTAATGGGGCAGATACAGGAGAAGCATTTTTAACCCTGATTCTTCTTTTCATTCTGACTAAAAGTTGGGGAAAGCCTCTCTTAAAGTTTGGATTACGATAGCACTGTAACTAAAACCAAAGGAGAAAGTTATT